CACAAGCTTGCATTTCTCAAAAAAAAAGCGCTGGAACGGAGCTGGAGGGTTGCGATACCTGGGTGCCGTATCAGGACTCCGTGCGCGCTATCCTCAACGTGCAGTTTTTGCGTTTATACCAAGATTCTGCGCGACGCGCACTCAGCGATAAGGAACAACCACATGTAAGGGGACGCAAACAAGTAGGGCGTTTGGCTACGGTTAGTCGTGTGCTGATCGTGCAGCGCGGGCAAAGTGTGGAGGTACCACTCGGGTGTCAGTACCCTCCGCCCACAATCAGGATCCTTGGAGGTAAATATACATACAAATTGCCTGTATTCAAGCCATCAATGGTTCGGCTTTACCTGTTCTACTATGGTGTATTTCAATCAACAATTTACAGTTTTCTGCTTGCTTATTACTCGTTTATTTGCGTGTCCATGGTAGGCTTGTAATAATTAAAATCGTGCTATAATTTTAGACCTACCACCCATCAGATCTGTGCAACTTGGCGGTTGGTGACAATAAGGTATGGGCTTTGGACGCTTCGGGACGTCTTCTGAGGCTACGAGGATTGGCGGCCGGTAACCCTGCTGGAAATTACTGGCGTCCTATTACCGGCGCAATGCTCAGGTAAGAGTGAGCTAGCCTTCTCCACTAAGGCGATCATAGTTTTCTCAACTACCTCATCCATTTCTGTTGTTGAGCACTTTTCTAGCAGAGCTTGTCACCACTTCTTCATTCAGAATAAGTTTGACCCTTGAAATTTAGAGCTATTTCGATAGATGCTCAGAGTGAATTATGGGCAGTCGACATGGACAATCGTCTTGTACGACATTTGGTTGGTTTTCCTTTTTTTTCGCTAACTCTTCTTGCAATGACTGCCGTCAAACTTGGGTTTTTCGCCTGGGTTCGGTAGTGATAACGTAGCAGTAGCTCATCATCGATTGTGCGAGAGGGGAAGAAGAGGTAGAGGGCAGGGGAGAGCAAGAAAAAAGTTTAGCACCTGAAGTGCGCCGTCGCTACTGTTGAAATTTGTCTATTGTATAACTCCATCCTTAAGTTAAATATAAATCATCCTGGTGATTACCACGAACAGCTACCAAAGATGAAGTTAAGGTAGCGAAACAGTAATGCCCTTCTGCATTATCTAACCTTTTACTTGTTAGTCCGCTACAGTCTGCAAGAGAGACGAAAGCGGGCTCGAAAACACGTTAGGGACCAACACCAATACAGATTTCTTGTACTCACCTCCTCATAAGGGTAGAAAGGAGCAGATAAAAAGTTTTTTGCTTTATTTGTTCACGAGGGAAACATGTCAAGACCCCCACTTGTCGGGGCGATTCCTAAGAAAATCGGGCTACTCGCCACTCGAGAATTACTTAAACATTGGTATTTCTTTGGACAAACTGCCGCAAACTTTTTCATCTGCTCCTAACGCCTTACGGAAGAGGGTCGAGTGACACGAATACTGTCCGAAGGTCGTCAAGCTCACGTACAGCTTATGGCTCAAGGAAGGTACTACCGGAATTTACGTCAGCCTGCTTGATATTGATTTACCGGGGTATTTTGAGGCGCTATTTAGCCTTACACAGAGTGCTGCTATAACGTAAGGGGGGGACACTAGCTTGTTGCTCTGGAACCCCATCCATGTCGATTTGACGGCTTTGAGAATAAAAAGGTTGAGACTAATGGTCGCTATAAATGTCCAGTGAGCTCCCTTTTCTGGTCACTGTGTGAGGGTACCTTCATACGGTGTGCTGTATAAAGAAAAAGTCTTTCTGGCCCCCTGGTGTAATTTTAGTCGTTGTCGTTAGTGTTTTTGGAGCATGAAGTGGCCCAACTCCCCCTTGAAGGCGTTTACTCTCTTTCCTGTTAGGATTGTAGAAAGAATTCTCAAGAAGTTTTGTCGAAAAACAAAACCTTTCTCCAATTCGATTGACATTTTTGTTTAGAGTGATGTGTTCGTTCCGAATCAGTTTCACAGCTGTGATATTCGAGATTCGTACGAGTTCGTCTAACATGGATTTTGTTACATTTACTAACTTCTCTTGTAGTCTGAAGTTTTTAACTTTGTTTCATCACTGTGATACCATTTAGTCATATCGTTTTCTAACGATTTTCATGATTTCTGCGATTAACATGTTGCACTTTTGTAGGTTGTCTTTCATATTCATTGAAGTGATTATTCCTATCGCCTTCACTTATATCTGTACTTGCCGGTTCTGTTTTTGTAAATATAGTCTGATCACAGATCAACTGCCAGGAAAAGGCTAAAATGGGTCCGTCGCGTATTATTTCTCGCCACCCCCGCAAGATTTGCATAATAGGTGCTGTCCAGTGCTTGTATGAGCCGTTCTATGGCTACGGTGTGAATGATTTTTAAATTTCTGTGAATAAATCGTCTATACCATTGGTGTATGAACTTATGAAGTTCGCATGTTTTGGATATGATTGTTGCACCTTTTTTCCTTGAATCTTTCCCGAGCTCGCAGCTTGGTATCTTCTATCCGTCTATTTCGATTTGAGTGGGAGCTCCCCTATGGGCTGCCACATTGCGACTGCGGAATCACAATCACTTCGAAAAGCCTAACATTGGGCAGTGATGGGCGAGTGCTTATGGTTAGAAGCTGAAGTTAACAGGGGCCCCATTGAGGACCATGGAAAGGAAACGATGAGTCTCTAAAGCACGGCTAATAGATCACAAGAAGCCACTACCAAAGAAAAGTGAGATCATCAAAAAGGATCTCAGTAAAATCGAGGCTGAGAGATGCCCAGGACGTGACATTGTGGTGAGGTCCAACAAATAAAGCAGACCTCTCGCTGGATCGGGATAACATTAGGATGGGGAAGAGAATCACTTTGGCATTGGGCAGAACGTAGTCCGACGTCCACTTGAAGTCCAGAGGCTTCCAGCCGGATCAGCAAAAGATGCTGCACTGCAGTGTAGTCTGTTGGGTCGTAGGACCAGTGCACCGCTTAGGACATTTGGCGCCATTCAGCTTGCTGGGGACATTTTGCTGGTTCCCATTCATCACTACCGTTGCCTCTGAGGAAAGCTCTTAATTCCTGTAAGCAATGCATTATCATCAGCTTCGTTTAGACTTGAACCTACGCAAGTTTCACACGGTAAAACGCGTAGTTTATCAGGAACTAATAAAAGAAACTAGCGTGTATGCAATGTGCCCCCCCTATCCTTAATATCGCAGGACATGCTAACGTTAAGAACACCAATGGATTCTCATGCTTGAACTGAGGTATGGCTCGGGACGCAGTTCATGAATAGGTGAGGATAAGGTATGAGAACAGGGGCAGAGCACCTCCAAAACTTTATGTACGGTTTTGATGAGTATTTCTCCGAAGAGTAATTGTCAACGGTCTCTTGAAAGCCAATATGCAAAGGAGTAGACCTAATATAGATCGAACTAGTGGCTCTATTACGCGAATATAGAACCTTGTCCGTCGGGACGTTATGGCCGATCTCCAGTGGTGCTTCCACTGATCCTATCCTTCTGCGTCCGAACATAGTCGCCATCCATTGTGCAGCCCTCCACTATATTAGTGGGAGGGATAGAAGTGCGTTGCCCGTCCGAATATAGCTGGCTTGCAGCGTACGAGCGAGGTGCACTTTGCTCTTCCTCCACAGTACAGGGCGCTCAGTACTGGTAGCAGAAGGTCGCCAAGCTTTTTCCAGCAAGTCTAAGTGAGCGCTGATGGGGTAGCAATAGAAATCTGCTTGGCCTATGTTCCGCAAAAAGCAAAACAACGAAGCTGCCATTTGTGGTGAAACCTACTCCTTTAGATGCATTCGAAGAAGCTGGTCTCGAATCTACTTTCAAAATCTGCCGTGCTTTTTCATAAACGAGGATATTGAGAATTCGTCTTTCCTTACTCACTCACCACGTTTTCCTAGCATTATCATGTTGTTCAGGACTCAAACTACCTTAGTGAGCAAGTTTCTAGCCGTTTCTGTCATTTTCCGCCTTCGCTTCGAAAAAAAGGGATATCCAGTAATGGTGTGCTCCCTGCCCCGTATGGATTAATCCTAGTATTAGGTTTTAATCATGGGACCAAATTAGCTTTTGAGCCGCGTTTCTGAGAACATCTGGCTCACGTTTTTGCATGACTCCCAAAATTTTGTTGTACACGATGCGAAATTTTTTGCTCTCGCCCAAGATCACACTTTGCATTCAAGCCCATTTATCCACAGTTGCGCACCCTCTAGAGACTACCAAGAGCTTCATTTTTGGAATCTCTGACAGTTGCCACACTCTGTTACTGCTTCGCGTTTCCTGATAAAGACAAATTCCATTCCTAGACCGGTCACCCACAGCCAGCTCACATTCGTAGAGCTACTGGCGGCCGCCACTCACCCACTTTTTGAAGTTAGGGCAAACCTCGAACTTGGTGAATTTGCTCTATGATAGTCTGGACTCCTGAACACGAACATAGCCCTCGCTTTGCGCACAAACGCGGCTGGAGCGCGCCAAAAGCCCTGATATACTGAAGCTTTGGTTTACGGTCAAACTTGTTGAGAACTGCAGTGGGCTTTTGCACAGCCGAGTTTTACCAACGGTGAAACGTTTTGAGCAGGCGTCGGAAAAAAATGAATTTCCTAGCGCAGCAGGAAATTGCTTCGAAACAGGCAGTCCAGCTTCCAATGAACCTTGCAAAATGAAGCCTTGAAGAGAGTTCATAGAGACCGCAACTGTGGATAGATGGGTGTGAATGCGAAGAGACCTTCCACAGCAGTCGCAGTCTCAATGAGGTTGGGGGGGAGTGGGTTGGAGGGATGATGCGAAAACATAAGGCAAATGTTTCCTCACCAAAAACGTGGCTCAATACTAATTCAACTGCAAGAATAGATTTTAATGCTAGGATGATACATATTCTACGACGGGAGAACACCGCCCGTGGACATCCACCTTTTTCGAAGTCGAGACGAAAAATCAGAAATTGACAGGACCAGCATGGGAGACGTGCAAGAGAATCGTAATTCGCCGCTTCGTCGCGCGCGACATGGGCGCGACGTTTCCTTATTTGCACTACCCTTCCGATTGGAGCATCGGATTTCATGTAGACAAAGACATGGAAGACACTAACTTTTAGTCCCTCCTTGTCTATTCTGGACCAGCACCACCGAAAATCGTCGCCACTAGGCGCGACGTCGCGCGCGACGCCCACTGGCGCGGCGAATTACGATTCTCTTGCCACATACCACCCCCCCCTAGCATGAAAGCTTTAAGGAGTGCGTAATGAGCATCGACACCCCCAAACCTTCGTGAGGAAACACGCTGGAATACCTCCATTATTTCGTTCAGGGAAAGCTCGACAAAGCGATCGGCAATAGATCATGAAACGGAACTATTTATGATTGGGAAATGGACCGAGGCTGAAGCTTCCACTTGTGGTGGAACCACACTACCAGATGCAATTCCAGACGCTCCTTTCCAACGAGCTTTGTCGAGCTT